ATTGAGTTGTTTGTGGGAATTGGAAGGAGGTGAGGATAATTAAAATTCCCAAGCCCTCCTAAATTCCTCAAGGTCCAGTCAATCAAAAATCTCATCTGCACTGTAGAACTCCAACTTTCATAGCAAACTCCTAAATGTTGGTAAGAGGGTAAGAAAATTAGGGAAAAAGTTTGTCTGGAAAGGCCCGTTCCTTCCAAGCACCAAAATAAATTAATTCACTCCCCCTTTCCCTAAGTCACATAACACCCTATATGTATAAAATCCTAGACATTCGGATACAAAGCAAAATTAAAACTCCCCTTTTTAATTAACTACATCAATGCCCCAGATTAGTATAACTTAGCTGAGCACCCTTGAACGAACACTCTCTCTCTCTCTCTCTCTCTCTCTCTCTCTCTCTCTCTCTCTCTCTCTCTCTCACACACACACACACACACACACACACACACACACACACCCCTTAAACTGACTGAAAAAGAGGGAGCACCTACATTTTAAAAAGGGCCCATAGCCCCAGCCTTTAAACTAAACGTACCAAGTCAAACTTCGGACTTCCCACCTTTTGACAATCTCTACCACCCCGACTACCTCCTTTCAGTTCACTATGCTGGCTTCCTCTCCCTTCTCCCCCTATGCGCCATTCATCCAACTGGCTGGCTTCCTTCTTACCCTTACCCCTGCCCCAGCCTCTGGGGTGCTTCGCCGACTTTACCTGCACTTGGGCCCCGGGGCACTGTGAGCGGAGGCCCTGATCGGCTCTGAAGGCTGTGCAGAACGGAGTTCTCGAAGGGACCAGTGGGCCAGGCAGGCGTCAGCGGCGCTCCCACGTAGGGCGAGTAGGGGCCGGGGTGGTGGTGATGATGGTGGTGATGGTGGTAAGATCCATTCAGGGGCCGAGGCCCAGCCAGCGGGCTGTATTGGTGCTCCCTACTGCCCATGGCTCCAAGGCTCCCGCTGTTGCCTCCCCCGCCACTGCTGCTCCCCGCGCTGCTCCCGCTAGCCCCGTAGCCGCTGGATTCCCGGGGCGCGCCGTTGGGCATCGGAGGGCTAGGCGAATAAGGGAAGCGGGCAGAAGTATGCGAACCCCCGGTGCTCGCGTTGCCTCCGCCGCTGCTGCTGCCACCTCCGCTGCCATACGGGGGGCTGTCGGCTGAAGGCTGGGGCCAGCCGGGATGCCCGCCAGGGTGATTAGGAGGCCCGCCGGCAGCGCCTTGTAAGTAAGGCAAGCCAGGAAGCATGGAGCCCACGCGGGTGGTGGGCACATACACTGGAGAACTGGCGGCGGCTGCAGCCGCCGCCGCGGCTGCGGCAGCAGAGTGCACGAAGCCGCCGGCCGCGCCGTCGTAAGCCGCTGGTCCCTGGGAGGAGAGGGCCGCGAGGGTCTGGTACATCTCCTCGGGCTGCTCTGCAGCTGCGAAAGGGCTCAGTTTGGTGCCGCGACTGGACCAGAGCAGCTTGCTAGCGGTCGCGGCCTGGTCGAGGTCAGTGAAGAGTAGTAGATCCTCCCAGCCCGACAGGGAGCTCCCCTGGCCCCCGACCCCGGGTGCCGAAGGGCCGTGGGGTGGCCCGAAGTGGTGTGGGGCGTAAGAGCTGAGCAACAACGATCGAGCCGGGGTCCCGGCCCCGTCCGAGTCTAGCTGGGACGTCCTGCAGGAGCCGGCGCCGCCGGGGCCCCGCTCGCCCCCCCGGGAACAGCAAGAGGAGGAAGAAGAGGAGAGGGGGGAAGGTGGGGAAGACGGCTCCCGCCCTGGGAAGGGACAAGAGTCGCTGGCGTCTGAAGCCCCGGCCCCGCACCGCTTCAAGAGGCACCAACTACCGTCAGTCAAGGCCATCCAAGGTCCGGCGCCGCACCTAGCAGCTCCGCTAGCTCCTGGAGGAAGGGAGGGCAGGGATGGAAACCAGAGAGAGAGAGAGAGAGAGAGACACCGAGAGAAATATTACCGAATAAGAAAATGAGGGAGCGCTCTAGACCTCTCCTCTTTTTTAAACAGTCATTTGAAAAGCCCCCTTTCCTCTACTATGGGGGGGGAACGACTAGGGGATAACAGAAAGACTTGGACTGGAGCACCAGCAATTTATTGCACACTCGCAACCCGAGATACCTAATTCCTCTGCTCCAACGCACCCGCCAGCCTCCCTCACCGCGCCTCTTTCCCTCACCCTCTTCAGCATCCTTTGCTGGGCTCAATACCAGCCCTAGAGAGTCCCTAACACACTCCAATCAAGTAAAATCTCCCTTAGGCGGCTTTTCTGGCTGGGAGTTAATTCCCCTTGGGGAAGCGGACGGGGAAAACAAAAGGCTTTTTTTTTTCTAAAGAGAATGCGTACGAGTGCGTGCACTCGGGGGCCCCTAGTGCCTCTCTTTTCTCTCTATCTTCGCCTTGGGTGACTGTGTCTAAGCTTTCCCTGGATAAAAACTAGCAGAAGCCCTAGAAAAGCAACCTGTCCCTGAAAACGAAACCGCGGACTTTCTCCCCCACTGGATCTCTCCTAGAGTTTTCCTAGCTGCCTAGGAGGGAAGGAGGAGGGTGGGGAAGAGGGAGGGGTTGAGGGGGAAAGAAAAGAGAGAGATCCCGAGATGAGCACCAGTGGTGAGAGGACGTAGGAGGCTGGAAGGCGGGGGCGAAGGGGAGCCTAAGCCGAGCCAACTACCTTCTGGTGAGAGGCTGTGCCAGGCCACGCCATCAGCTGTGGGCCTCAAGAGCTACAAGGATCGAGACCCAAGCCCAAACCTTCTTCATCAGCCGCCGCTGCAGCCGCCACTGCACACCTTAGAAGTGGCACAGTTCCACAACAACAAGCCCTGCGATGCTGACCGCCGCACTCACGCGCGCGCGCGTACACACACACACACACACACACACACACACACACCACACACACACACACAACACACATACACGCGAGCACTCATACAGGATTTGTAGCCCTGGCTCCTTACCCCATCTATTCCACACCAAGACCACACTCACATGCAACAGAAAGGTCACACAATTCCGGGGTATGGAGTGGGGAGAGAGAAGGGAATGAGAAAGAGGGGAGAGAAAAGGTGGACGGGGGATAAAAGTCGCCTTAGAGCCAAGTCCGCCCAAAAGAAGGGAAAAGGAAGAAGTGACAGCGAGCCACGGAAGAAACCAGAAAGTCCCACCTCCTCGGAGGCTGCTTTCCAAAATCTCTTCGGACCGTGGAAGATAACCATAGTCAAAGTAATAGCACCCACAATCGCCGCTGGGATAGTGTAAAAGGAGTCTGCTTCCCAGTCAGCTCCCCCTTCCGGGTCTCCCCCCCACTCCCCACCCCAGTTGTCCTTTTGAGATAACTAGCAGATAAGGCGGTGAGCAGATAAGTATTTCAGACTCAGAAAAAGAGTCGAAGTTTGCCTGCGGGAGGCTCTGTCCTGGGAAAACCCAGCAGCAGCTACAGACATCGAGGAAGAAGGAAGAGAAGGACCCACCCGGAATCCTGGACGTAGCTTTCTGGTGGTGGGAGTGTGTTTGCTTCTCTCCCCCCACCCCACCCCGCCCCCCAAGGGATTGAGAGAACTGGAAAGGCCAGAAGGAGGGGACTGAAAAAAAAGGAAAGGAGGGGGGTGGCAAAGGGAAGAAAAGGGGAGGGAATGGGGGACAGAGGGAGAAAAACGAACCAAACCTAGTGTGGTCGATTTGCATCGAGGCTGGTTGCAGTGGTGTTTAATGCCGGGAGCTAGGAGCTGGAGCCGAGGAAAGCAAGCGAAGAGGAGAGTCCCGGGTGTGCGGCGATGAGCTGCTCAAGTATAAAAAGGAGAGAGGAGGCGCCTCTCACAGCCCTGCCGGAAAATTGCAGCCTGCTGCTCCTGATTGGATTCACTGAGCCCTAAACAAACAGCGCTCGCCAGAAGGGTGCCAGCCAGCGGGCCCTCTCGGCTCACTCTGAGCTGCTAGGCTCTGGAGGTGAAGAGGAGGGAGAGAGGGAGGGGAGGGGAGGGAACCAAAGAGGAGAGGAGGGAACGAGTCAGGAGGGGAGGAGAAGGAGGGGGGAGGGGACGTGGGGGGCAGGGGAGGCTGTGCGTGTTCTAGAGAAAGAGACTGAGTTCGGACAGAGCCTGTAGTGTGTAAGGAGAGCAGCCTTCGAAGCCCAGTCCTAGGATTAAAGCTAGTTCCACTAGGCCGAGTCCAAGGGTTCGGAGCTGGAATGGATGGTGAGAAGTGCGGTTCCCAAGCGCCTGAGGGGCACAGGTGGGAGGACTGAGATGCACAGCTAAAGTCTCTATGTTATAAGTGTTCCACAAGACCCACCTCAACCCTAAGCACATAAGAGATACCCTCATACTCACACCGTCCTTTAAAAAAAAAAAGTTCCCCTTGGGTTCTTCCCAATCTGTCGCCGCAGAAACAAACATCTCACGTAGTGAAAGAGGGAGAGAAATATCCCAAATAAAATATTTCGACTAAAAGAGAAAATCCGACTAGTCTCAGGTCCCTTCTCTCTCCACTCCCTCCACCCCCACAAATTAAATACTACAGGGGCGGGGGGGAAGGTTGGTCTTGGGGACTGGCGAGTGGGGGGCGGGGAGTGCGGTTGGTCTAAGTTTTTTTCCGACCTTAGACCTTTAGTACCCGCTTTCCCAGGTTCCCGGCATTGCTAGTCTTGTAGCTGTGGGTAATTTGGTTTCTAAAACAGCTACAGGACAATTCCACTGCTAAATTAACTACCTCTCTCTTTCTCACTGTGTCTCATCTTAGTTTCTCTCCCTGTCTCCATCTCTCTCTCCCTCTCTGATACTGCCTCTGTCTCAGTCTTTCATCTGGCTCCCTGAAGTTCACGTCCGCCACTCCCTTATTATTCCAGTTCACGCCAGTGGTGAACTTGTAAGTGTAGGGGATCAGGTGAGCGAAAATGCTCCCATATTCAGACATGAATAATAACCACAAATTTTATCAGATTTTATATACTCAATCTGTTCTTCTAAATATCCCTTTCCATGTCCACCCCCGCCCCACTCCAAATTCAGGTAAGTCTCTTCTGGCAGATCTCGGTGAGAACTGAGTATTCATATTTTATTTTCTTTTCTCTCTCCAAATGGTTATCACAACTGGGCACAAATCAATACGGTTCTTAGCAGGAAAAGTGACTGGGAATTAAAATAACTCGTTCCCCAGGGGTTATCAGCTGGATATCAGTCCACATCAGTTTGTACAGAGAGAGACTCATCTGGCGCGAACTGTGTGAAGTCTGTCTCGCTCCCTCAGCTAACAAACATCATTTCTTCAGATGGACGTGACCCAAAGACTGGGGACAGAGAATTTAACTGGGGTAGGACGTGCTGTGTTTTGAGGGTTGTTTTTTTTTCTTTCCATTTCCCCCCCCAGGTAAATAGAAGTAAAAGCATTTCTAATACGCGCTAGACCTGATTGCTTTTTTCTGTATTCGGTTTCTCTGGTATTTCTCTTAGGCTTCTTAGTAGAGAGAATTGAGCGGGGGCAGGTAATTTTCAAATATTATTGGGGGCTAAATGATCAACGTCAAATCTAAGCAGAAAATTTGTTTCCTTTCTAATAAAACTGAATTGTAAGCACTATGGTTCACTGGTGGAGAGTGAGAGTGGTTAGAAGAGAAGAGAAGGGAATGAGCTAGGAAGAATTTACCCTTCCCCCTTCCCCCTTCCCCCTTCCGCCAGTTCTTCGTTGTAAATTTCTGTTAAACACTTAGGGATTTTTAAATCCTTACTGTGAAGATTCCTAGTTAAAGTCATATATCTCAATTTCATTACAGCCGCGTTTGGAAAGGAAGTTAAATGGAGAAGGGACTAAATATAAACGATTGAGTAGTTTTTTTTAATTAATCCACTTTTGATCGAGTGTGAGGAGAAAGCAAGACTTGTGTTCAATTGCTAAAATGAATGAGTTTTGAGCCGAGCATTACCTTAGAATTCTTTAGCAAGTAGTAATTAAATTAAAATCAGGTTTGTTTGTTCTTAAGATGGTTCATTGTCAGAACTATTGCTGCTTTAGATATGTTTTCCTTTTGAATCCAAATATTTTGTTAGTTTTTTCCCATTAAAAATACTAACAGCCCCCCACCCCATAAAATTAGTGACTTTTGAAAAGAATAACTGTTTCACCGAGGCTAGTCTACAAGCTAAGTAATTAACTTCGGAGTCCGAACGCACAAGTCCATCGAAGTCCCTAAGAGCTTTTCTTCAAGTTTGTTACCTAGTCTAAGAATACCATCCAGAAATTTGCAATTATGAAGGTGGGGCGGGGCGGGGGGGGGGTTGAAGGGTTGGGCTACTTTTTTTTACAAAGTAACTGAATGCCTTTGACCAGCTCTCTTTACCACGTCTCTCACCGGCTGTTAAGAAAAAGCTCTACCAAGCTCTGCCTAGGTTAGAAGTGACGCGGAGAGAAACACTGGCCCTACAAATTGCAGTCTCTTATGGCTCTAGGGTGACCTGGTTTTATGCTCCAGACTCCCAAACTTTTTATTAAAAAATTTTTTTCCCTAAAACAAAGAATAAAACTATCTGTGTAAGTGTCTGCTGAGCAAAGTACTTATTTTTCTACTTTGGTTTCCAACCGGAGTTGACATTGGAACTGTAGGGTTGCCCTGGTTATAAATGTCACAGAAAGTGAGATTAAAATAATAATAATAACAATAACAAGAAGTTTTAAATCAAAGATTTAATTTCATTAGGTTGAAGGAGCACTCAGATTTGCTCCTTTTAACTTGCTCTTTTTTCGGCTCGGAGGGGATGACTCCGATGGCAAAAAGCAGTGCATTTTCAAAGAAATCAAATCAGACTTGAGTCCTTTACTAAGGGATTCCCTGGCTTGGAGCGCCTCTGGACTGGCTTCTTTTCTTTCTCCCACTAAAAGCATTTTTCTAAATGACTGGGACAAAGAGGTGTGGAAAGGAGGATCTCTTTTAAAGAAGAGAGGGAAAATTCAAGAATTCGGGAGAACCAAAACAATTTTTTATTCAAAAGTAAACAGCCCTGGTATCTTATGAACCACTCTTCCTCTTTCGTTTTTCCCCCCTCCTCTCTCTCTTTTTAAAGAGCTGTTCATCTTAAGCCATTTCACTGGGTCAAATCAAAAACATTGAAAAAGACAGGAGTCTTCCATCTGATTAGCCGGGAGTGAGGGGGAAAGCCTGGTCCCTGTGATGCTTTCATTAAAATAGTGAGTGGAGTGAATTTGGCTTCTCTGGGGTTTTCTCCCCTGTCAAGAGGTGTGATTTATTTTGGCAGAGTTGCGTGCATTATTCTTAGTTTTAATTCAACCATAATACGTCAGTTAATTGGGGAGGTGAGGGGAGAGCCTTAGCGCTGTCATTACTTCAGTTCCGTAGGCTCTGAGAGCTAGCTCAAAAGATTAGCGTCATAATATACCCTTAACCCTACATGTTCAAGCCTATTATAATGTCATTTGACAAAGTTGATGGTTTTCTTTCAGAAAAAAAAACCTGAAATAATACAAATCTTCAATAGAAAGGTTTTTCAACTTGAGGGTGTTTTTTTTTTAAAGCTCAGACTTGTGATACCTCCCCTCATCCACCATATTTCTTCTGACCTGAAGATCTCCTTCTTAAAGACTTGGGTCCAGCTTAATGTTGCTCCCACCCTTATTCCTACCCTTATTCCTATTCCAATGAGAGAGCCTTAGTATTGTGGATCATCAAAGATCCCTTGGTGTATTGTCTTTTTTTTAAACAATACAAATTGTTTAAAATCCAAAATTGTTTATTTTTCATTTCAAGGAAAGGTCACCGAATGGTGAAAACTAACTCTGCCGAGGTATCCTCCCCACCTTATCCATCCCCCTCCCCAAACCCAATCCCCTACCCCAGGTAAGAAAAACTGTGAATGTTGATCTTTTCAGAACGCATAAAAACACTATCCTTCGGGAATAAACGAGGCACCACGGCTCCCGGAGCGGAGAGACTTTAGGTTCCTTGGCTTGGATTCCTGCTGGGAATACAGGCTACAGTCCCCTGGAGGGCGGGGCTGGGTTGGGCCTGGCCGCTGCTGCTGCTGGGAGGTGGGATATACAGTACGAAAGGTCACTCTGGTAGCATTCTTCTCCTCACCATGTTTATATAGCTAAATGTACTTCATACCCGGCTGGTAAGCTATGGCAGTCGAGATAAGCAGGCTTGGGTGGGGGGAGGGTAGTGAAAAACTCCTTGCTGGAGGTACCTAAAATTCAATCCTTATCCATTCATTTTTTTCCTTCTTTTTTGCCTTCCTTCTTCCTTCTTCCTTTGCCTTCCTTCTTCCTTTTTTCTCTCCCTTCTTTTTTTTTCTTACCTTCCTTCCATCTTTCTCTCCTTATTAAATAGTGTTATCTGGCCACCCAATAAAGAAATTAATTTTTTTCACTTCCTGCCTCTCTCAGCCTTAGCCACTCTAAATCAGATTAATTTTGCCATTAAGTAGATATCATCAGAACATCAGTGATGACAAAAGGTTGTCTTCTACAGAAAATTCCTCTTCCTTTCCTAACAATAACAAAGAAAAATCAAAATTCCATTTCTAATAAACAGATTCTTCTTCTCTCTCTACCTTTGTACTGAGTAACTCTTGGAACATGTTCTTTCACCCAGACACCATGAGCTAGTTTTAGTCAGGTTGATTTCCCACCAGCTTCAGAGTTTGCTCGGTTACTGTCAGACTATCAGGACCCAACCTAGTTCTGAGGGCCTCAGATCTAGAGGCCAGAGCATAATGTGGTGAGCCAAGAAAGCTTCAGGAAGGCCTGGAATTCTTGTGCTTTCAGAAATGTTTTGAAGCTCAGGTGGAACAGTTTTAAGTGAAGGGATTTATGGAGCCCATGTGGGGCAGAAAGGTTTCAATCTTTCTTACTAAATCTTTGCTGAATAGACTAAGTCCTTTTCTAAGATGAGGCACATCTAACCATTCCACTTACTGTGTAGATGGAGTTGGAGGTGAGCTAAGTCAAGATGATCTATTATTTTGTGAAAATAAGTCATACAAACAAAATAGCATTTCCATTGACCTCCCCTTCCTCCCTCCATCCAAATAAAGTGGAAGATCTATCAACACCAGACACAGAAGGCAGATCCCCACATAAGATGGTGGTGAACAGGACTCAGAATCACAAGGTCTCCTATAGATGAGACCAGATAAACAAATAAATACTGAAGACATTAACTTTCTTATAACAACTGAGATGGATGTAATTAATACTATTTGTTTTCATAATTAAGTTCCATCCATTTTGACTTACTACAGAATGTTTCTAAAGTCCCTTCTAGCTCTAAATCTCTAATACTCAATAAGAGCATGAAAATCCACAGGAACTTTAATTTAGCACCTTTCCTTACCTTTGACCCAAAGCAGCAAAAGGAATATACATTTCACATCCTATTTCCTGTCCCCACTTTGGGGCATGAGAAGTTTGGGAGCCCTTGAGGTCTCTGAGAATGCTGCTCTGCCACTGGAAAAGCAGGGATGGAAAAAGAAAAGAGGAAGAAAAGAATATTGAGAAGAAGAGGAAGAAAAATCAAGAGGAAATTGAGGACAGTGGACGGAGAGAAATAGAAGACTCCCTGTATTTCATTTCCTTTTCCCCTCCCTCCATTCCTCTTTCCCCTAGACTCCAGACCAAAAAAGAAGTGCTTTAGTTTGCTGCTTTTCAACAAGGGTACAATAGGTGGGAAAAGACTCAGCAGCAGTGAACACAAAGTTGCTCTGACCCCAATTGACAGCCTTAGCCTCCCTCCTTATTGCCTTTCTACCTAGTCCAGGCTCTCTGCTGCCAAGATGTTCTGCAGCAGCTAGGATCCCAAACCTTATAAACATGTGCTGATGGTGTTTTACTCTACCCTAGAAATTATCAATATCTTTCTTCCCATTCCACCGAAAGAAAGAAAGAGAGAGAGAGAGAGAGAGAGAGAGAGAGAGAGAGAAGAAAGAAAGAAAGAAAGAAAGAAAGAAAGAAAGAGAAAAGAAAAATCAGAGACAGCTTCATTTCCACTTAAGTACAGCTTAACCTTTACAGCTCTATTCTCCCTGCTCCTGACAGCACAGCCCTCTCCCCTGTCCCCCCACACACAGTTAAGCAAAGTATCTTTGGAAAAAGAAGCGGTCTCAACACAGGGGGCCAATGGTGATTGTGAATAATGGGGCAAATTCTTCAACCCCAAATAAAGTCAAAGATTCCCCTAAAGTGCTGCCACCACCACTGACCAGCCTGAGGTATTCCTAGGCATACTCATCTTTTCGCTGGAGGGTGAATGTTGCCTCCCTTAAGGCACAAATTCCAATTTATTTTCAGGAAAGAGGGAGGAATGGAAAGTGGTAGCAAATAATGCCTGAGCAACCCACATAAAACACACACGAATCTCCTAAATTTGTTTGTTTTTAAAGAAGTCCCAACTGATTCCATTACTTATTGGAAATGTCACACTTAACATCCAGCTATCAGGCAAAGATACATAAATTGGAATTGTAGAGATCTCTTTAACCAAAGTTTCTTCTCTGTTCATTTCTCAAGGACATTATGCACTAAGATACTGTACTAGAATTTCCAACAAAGAGTCAATCTTTCTAATATTTATTGATCACTCCTTGTACTGACAGAGACTAGGAACTTGACACCCTGATTTTGAGGCATTTGCAAGTCTCTCAACTGGCACAGCTTTACAAAGAAGACTTGGCAAATTCCAATTAAGCGTAATTTCCAGGAAACATAGTTCAGGGCTCTCCCCTAATATTTTGTAAAAAAAAAAATTATCCCGTAAGTTTAACTATTGCTTAAGTCTCTTCCATACTTCAGGCTCTGAAAAGAAAGGGATCTCTCTCATATTTAGGAGATTTGTGGCAGGGGTGATCTTAACTGGTGCTTCTATGTAAAATCTGAATAGGTGATGCCCGAATTGAAACATCTTCACTTACCCAGCTGTTTCCTGGGAGTAGTCCAGCTTACACTGCCTGTCCTCTGAGTTTTCTCTGAACCCTCAACCAACTCTGGCAGCCACTTTCCTAACAGAATCCCTATGGAGGTTCAACCCCATCCTTCTCCAGGCATGGAAATAAGTCCAAAGATATGAGAAAAGAGATGAAATGAGGGGGAAAAATTCATTCCTTTATCTTGATTCCTTTTAAGAAGGCAAATACTTTACTTAATGTTCTTATACAAGAAATATCTCATAGCAGACTCGAACTGGACATTGAGGAAAGATGGTGAACTTAAAACTCTTCAGATAAAACTTCTCATAAAGAAATCCATTGTCTCAGCTGCTTCACACTCCTTTGAGCTTTTTCTTCATGCATAGTAGAACATTAGAGATCCAAACCCTGTAGAATGGTTAAGAATTAAAGGGAAGTACTGATCAAAATGATTAGAAAGTACGAAGTTATGCTAATTACTGGTTCTGCCTACTTTAATTTGCATCATTTCACATAAGCAGCACCAGGAAAACAAAGTATATGATAACTAACAATGAAAAGGTAAAGAACCAAAAAGCAAAATAATTAAAATGAAATGTTTCTAAACTATAATGACAAAGCTTGCTAAAGAAGAGCTATGAGAGGCACTACCATCTTCCTTTCTCTGCAGAGGCCAGAGACTATAGGTATGTAACACTGAGTATGATGTGAAACTTTTTTGATCGGTTTGTTTGTTTTGTTGAACTTTTCTCCTTTTTCCTTTTTTAGTACCTTAAGGGCTTTCTCTCTGGAAGGGGAAAGTAGGAGGGATATATTTGGAAATGTAGATATATGAAAATAAAACATATCAATTAAAATATATTTTAAATAACTAAAAATAGCTCCAAAACCTATTGGATCAATACATCAAAAAGTATTTATTATTGAGAATACAAACACAAAAGTGAAAAGTGAAACAATCCATTCTTTCAAGGAATTTATATTCTATCAGGGAAGAAAACAGATACACACCCCCCCAAAAAAGATACAAAATAGATTTAGGGTAATTGGGGGTGAAACTCCATGGCTACCTAACAACTCATTTCTCTCACTTTTTAATTTCAATTTTTGGTTTTCTGAATGATTTTTATTAGGAAAGGAGGAAGGAAGGAAGGAAGGAAGGAAGGAAGGAAGGAAGGAAGGAAGGAAGGAAGGAAGGAAGGAAGGAAGGAAGGAAAAAAGAAAAGGTGAGATGTGAGGAGAGACCCTTAGAAAATCTAAAGTGACTCTGCAGTAAGGGGAATGGAAGCCAAACTGATAGGATTTTCATTTCTTATAAATGTAGATTCAAAGTATTGTGATCACAACTTTTTATTTTTAATTCTGAGGACATCAGGAACATAACAAAAGGGGAAAGATGGCCAGTAAATCGGTCCTTCCCAGATTTAAAATTCTACGGTTCTGTGGTCTCTAGGTTAGGGTGGTGAGAAAAGAAAGACATTTGCTTTTGAGAAGAAGATCCTGAAAGAAATGTAAAAGAGTTCAAATGCCTTTCTTTCTTTCTAGGTTGTGCTTGTGCCCAGAGCCGGTTTTTCTCCTGTCTTTGACAACCCTGATCTTCTCTGGGTTTGATTTATTGAGTGCTGTCGTTTCTCTGCTCTTTACTTTCACAATCACACATTCAAACCCGATAAAGTTCAAGACCCTGAATGCTTCCAGCTCTCCCAGATTTACAGTCTTACTGCCTCCCAGAGCAGCTCTGAAGCTGATTGAATCCTCATGCATACAAGAAGTTGGCAAGAATCATCAAAAAAGCCAGAAGAGACCAGAGATGGTGCTTCCCATGTGAAACATTACCACCCCATGTCTATTCTATTATTCAAAGAAAATCTTACAGCATTTTTCCCCAGAAAATGACTGTTACCATCCTACCCTGTATCAGTTTCAACATTTAATGCAGTCCGCTACCCAAGTGTTAATAGCTAACTACCTGTGGGCCTGTTGTTACAGTTACAACAGGTTAATGTTAAGGTGGCCCTGATGACTGCTGCCAGAAAGATGGAAAAAGATGCTCGACTATCAAGAGTTCTGAGTTATGTTCCTAGATTGAACTAAATGGCCTTGTGATCTAGGACAAAGCATTTAACTCCATTCTGCCTCAGTTACTTCAAATGATAGAAATATTAACTTGTACAAACATTGATGCTGAATGAATTATGTTTGGCAGTTTATACTGACATATTCATGGAGGGCTGGGTAAGACTAAATCTGGACTTGTGATTTTATCAGTGTGAAGAATTTCTAGTGTGGAAATTCCCTCCACAGATACAGATCTCAACTCTCCTGAGACAGGAAGCATGGCATCATGAATAAAGTGCTGGGCTTGGAATTGGGAAGATCTGGGCTAGAATTCTGCCCAAGTCACTTAACTGTGAGCCTGTAGTCATTTAACCTCTCTGAACCTCGGTCTCCTCATCAGTAAAACGCATATAATAAAGGTACCCCCAGGGTTGTTGGGAGCATCAAATTAAATTATTTATGTAAAGCACTTTGCAAACCTTAAGGCTGTATAAATACGAGCTATCATTCTGTAACTTATACTATTAGAGATGTGATTAGGACCCTAAGAAGTTAGGTACCTCTCCCAAGCTCACATAGTTTGTATGTGAAGCATTAGAATCAGGTCTTAAAGAGCACTTTTTCACAATCTGCTTCCAACATTTACTGACTGTGTGACATCAGGCAACTCACATATCCTCTCTGAGATTCAGTTTCCTCATATGTTAAAAAAAAAAAGATTTTGGATCAGATGACCTCTGAGACCCCTTTAAAACCTAGATCCAAGAGTCATTTAATCTCCCTCAGGCTCAGTTTCCTCAAATGTAAATGAGGAGATTGAACTAGATGACCTTTGGGGTACCTTCCTGCTCCACATCCTGGAACTTTCAACTTCCCGACTTCCAAAGCCAGCTCCCTAGACTCTGCACCAAGCTGCCCCTCATATAAAAACCTATCTACACATGGACTCAAATAGTGTGAAAGAATTAATACACCCCTTAAAAATGAAGAGTTAGTTGCCCATTGCTATTGTGTGGGCAGCTAGGTGGCAAAGTGGATAGAGCACCGGACCTGGAGTAGGGAAAACTCATCTTAGTGAGTTCAAATGTGGCCTCTGATACTTACTAGCTGTGTGACCCTGGGCAAGTCACTTAACCCTGTTTGCCTTGGTTTCCTCATCTGTAAAATGAGCTGGAGAAAGAAATGGCAAACCACTCCAGTATCTTGGCCAAGAAAACCCCAAATGAGGTCACAAAGAGTGGGACATAACAGAAACAACTGAACAACAACAGCTATTGTGTTAAGTCCTCAGGCTCTTTCTAAGCATTTAGATAGCATTTGAATAATAAAATATATTCTAGATATGCATATGATAGCATGCTGCTGAACAGCAGAGCTTGCAAAAGAAAGCATTTATTTCATTTGATGTGGCTGATATATGGGTACTTCATATTTGCTATAAGTTATGTCACTTGCTTTGATTTATTTGCATTCTCTTACAGTTGGATATGAGTATTTATTGACCTGAAGGAAGCATCTGAGGCAAAGGTCTTTTAAAATAGACCTTTTTCCCCCCCATAATTCTACATGACTTCATTAGAAACATGTGCAAATATCCCAAGTCCATAAACTGAAAAATATAAGTATTTTTTCTGTTTCGAAATAAAAGTTGAACTCAAAGTCTGCACCTGGGGAGAGGGGGCAGACTTCACTAGTCTCTGAAGGCAGGAAGCTGAGGTTTGGATATTTTGCTGAACTCCTGGGACAAGTTTTGATAACAATTGCATGATCCATGCCTAACTATAGTACTATGGTATTGTTCAACTCTTCAGAAGCAAAAATAAAGATAGAGGATGGAAAAGTAGATGATAAATAGATATAGAATAGAGATTATATATATATATATACACACACATACATACATATATATATATATATATATATATATATATATATATATTGTTGTTGTTGTTCAATCCCTTCAGTCTTGTATGACTGTGACCCCATTTGGGGTTTTCTTGGCAAAGATACTGAAGGGATTTGCTATTTTCTTCTCCAGCAGATATATACATACATACACACACACATTCATAATTTTTTTTAATGGGACATCAGTGGAGGGAATTGTATCAGATACCCCCTTTGAGCTCTGGATCCATGCTCCTATGAATTTCTGTAGGAACAGTAGCATTTTGGTGAGCCTTGAGCCAACATAACTCTATTTGTAGTACTGCAAATAGAAGCCATACAATTAGCCAACCACTGGTGCATAATATTATAAAGTCCTAGACTGTTAGAAATAGAAGGGACATGAGGATCTATCTACCTAGTGCTTGAATTTTTTAGACTGTTAGGCCCCCTCATTTTACAGAAGAGGAAACAGAATCCCAGAGAGGTCATAACATTTAAAGGTTGTAAGTCTGCTCCTATAAGACTCTGGCCACACCCCAAGTATGGATCTACAAAGGAAGTCAGCTTTTGCATTTCAAAAGCATCTTTATCTAAAGATCTTAACATGCTTTTCTTAACTGTGAATAAGGTTCTGTGAATAAGAAACTGAGGCAAAAGGGAACTATTGAATGATTCATTTATTTATCTGACTACCAATAGCAGAATCAAGAATAAATCCCCAAACTAGAAATAGAATAAAGCTTACTATTTTCTGATTATTTCTAACCGGTAATGGAGGAAGAGGGAAAAAGTAGTATTGATTTAAAAAAGTAAAGTCTATTGGAAAAACTCTTGAAATGATAGAAAAGATTAAGGGAAAGATCTATTGTATTTAATTGCTGGAGTTAATTAAACTCACTCTCTAGAACCCCAGACTTGTCACAGAATAAGCAAGTTCAGTGAATTAGAGCATCTTTATCCCATCTGATGATTTCTTCACTGTAAGTTTTTAAATGCATGTTTCATCCTTTCTGAGTGTACACAATAGCTATCCATTTTGTCGCTCCCTTTTTGCAGCTTTACCTGACTGTTTGCTCAGCTTCAAAAGCGCTTCTTTCTCATGACATTTTTAAAATCAAGGATCATCGATTCAGAGCTAAAAAGAACCTCAGAGGTCATCTAGTTCACCTGCCCTCATTTTGCAGAAGCAGCAATTGAGGCCTGAGGAGGTAGAATGATTCACCTAAGGCCCCACAGGGAGTAAATATGAGACCTGAGATTTGAACCTAGTCACTACACCCCAGTCCAAGTTTGCTCCCCTGCACTAGCCCTCCTCTCTATAAGAAGTCAACTCTCCATTATTTGTAGTATGGCACATGAGACATCTGTTATTCTGTTTGAAAAACAATCAACCCAACTTTTAAAGAACACTAAGTACCTACTGTGTGCAAAGCGTTGTGTCAATGAAGGTCCAATAAAGCATAATTATACATTGTTGTTCAGTTTCTTTCAGTGGTGTCTGACTCTTCTTGATCTCGTTTGGGGTTTTCTTGGCAAAGATACTGGAGTGGCTTGCCATTTCCTTCTTTAGCTCATTTGATAAATGAGGAAACTGAGGCAAATATAGTTAAGTGATTTGCCCAGGATCACACAGCTAGTAAGTGTCCGAGGCTGTATTTGAACTTAAGGAGATAGGTCATAGATTAGTAAATGGTCATACAGGCTTATTGTCTGTTACTCACTATTGCTTTGGCATATTCAAAATTGCACTGAAACTATTCCTTTTTTACTTCTAGGTAATCTTTGTTAGTGTTAGAGAGCTGCTTTCCACATGGAACTCATAGCAGTCTGAGTATGCTGCCAGTATCTGCATAATGCTTCATAGTACTTACTCTTTTTTTTTTAATCTAGGATTCTTATCTACTCCGTGGTACCACGCTGATTCTCAGACTCTTAAATAATATTTTTATTGATATCTTTTATTTTTACATCATCCATGTTTTCTAACATACTCCCACCCTCTTCCTCTTCTCAGAGGGGCTTTTCTTATAACAAAGAATGAAAAAGAAGAAAAAAAACCAGTTAAGCAAATGTGACCAACACATCAAAAAAAAAATCTGTTGTCCTACAGTTTTCCATACCCAAAGTCCACCACCTCTGCAAAGGAGAAGGAGTGGTGCCTTCTTGTATCTCTTCTTTGGGGCCAAGCTCTGTCATTACAAGTTTACATTATTCACTTTCTGTCCTTGCTTTTATTCTCATCATCTGCATTGTTGGAGTCGGTGTGTATGTTGTTATCCTGGTTCTGCTTGCTTCACTTTGGATCAGATCATCTAAGTCTTCTCATATTTCTCTGTATCCTTTATATACATCATTTCTTATGGAGTAGTAATAATCTATTACATTTATATACCATGATTTATTTAGCTATTCCCCAATCACTGTTCATGTATTTTGTATCTAGTACTTTGTTATCATGAAAAGTTATATCCCTTTAATAATAAATTTTATTAAACTTTTACTACACATGCAAAAGGTCACTTTTAAAAAAATAGAATGTACAAGTGGAGTGGCAAAGGCCAATGATTGGGGAAGAAATGATTGAGTCTCTCCTATTTATGCTTGCTGGAGATGAAAGCCTCTTCAGACAACCAGATGGACCACTGTTCCCATTCATATCCAGGATGTTCCTGAAGAGAACAGGCCACAAAACAATCAGCTGCATGAGATGATACAAAGTTGTCATGTTGCATTGAAGGCTTTTTGATGACATTAGAAACCAAGTGAAGTTCAAGAGGTTTGTACATGTTCTAGAAGAGGCTAAAAATTAGCATCCTTCCATAGCTTAGTCATGTTTTATTTTTAGCAGCACCAAGACACGTGATGATGGAAAATCCCATCCCACAAATTTAGATGACATTATTTTCCTTCATGTGTTTAACTTTTATTCTAATATGCATGAACATCCATGGGGCTTATCTAATAAGGTACCTTTGTTTCTTAATGAGATTATAATATGAGACTATTGACATTATTGCTCACATTTTTATGACCTACCTTCCCCATTCAAAAAGTTATGGACAGAATCCACTTGGTATAAAACAGGACTCCTCTCACCCTGAACCCCCCCCCCCCCCGCAGTGGAGGGGAGAAATAGGCTCAGCTCTACCCGGCACATGCCAAAGTATAAAGTAACATAAAATCTCCCGGACTGAACAAGAAAAGTCAGTATAAGGCCCTTTCTCCTATACTGTTCTCTCCATATGGGGAGAATGTAAGGAATCTGAATCGAAATGTCAACACGGGGTTGTCATTTTTCTATTTGGCTGTCAGCTTTTCTTGGCTGAGGAAGAAGATGGGGTGGTTTCTTGAGAAAATCTAAGATACAGTTCACCTTCTTCCCAGGGGTGTGGTAAGGATTAAATCATCATTAAATCATTTTCAGAGAAAAACACAGTGAGTGTTTGGGTCTTAAAAAAATTAGTCCCAATAAAGGAAAATGAAAACTCTAAGGTACTGGGCACCTATCCTGCCTATGATACTGATTTAACAGAGCTTCCTCCCATGGGCAAAGCTGTGGCATCACGGCACCAATCTCCTAAGTAAGAAGCAACCATAATATTCCATTAGCACTATAGCCCTTTCCTCTGCACATTGGCTCTGATGCCAAATCCTATTTTTGTTATTTGTTCCATTTACTATGTCTACTCTTCTTGATCCCTAAAGCTACAGCCTTAGTCAAGGCATCTCTGATCTGAAGATATAATATATTACAGTTGGAAAAGGGCTAGATTTAGAGCTCAGAGAACCTGAGCTCAAATCCATCCTGGCTCTGCCATTTGCATGCTATGTGACCTTTGGCAAGTCACTTACTCTCATTGGGCCTCAGTTTCCCCATATGTAAAATGAAAAGGTTAGGCCAAAGTTCCTTTTAGTTTTATCTTTGTGATCCTGTGAACCAGTAGGGACTTAATGATTCTTGTTGGATTGTACTTATGTGACTCTCCCAAACAGATTCGCTGCTTACAGAGTGGGTTGGTTCAGCTTTCTGACCACATTGGCTCTTTTTTTCAGGTGTTTTATTACAGATTCTGTTCCAGTCCTGGCCATTGGCATTAATGGCCCATCCCCAGGCTGCCCCTGACTAAGCCTCCTCTTCTACCACCATAGTTCATCCTTAATATCCCTCTTCATTTGATCAAGATACTTCCCCCTCAGAGCCCTCTCCCAAACTGCCTTGGGCCCAGATAACTCCCTTTCTTTCCATAATTCAACAACTTGCCAAACGTTCTTGCCAAGTGCTCTCAAAAAGCACCTGGGCGTGAAGTCAGTAGAGACTTAGGTCTTTGTGAGGCTCACTTCCCCAAACCTAAGTTTACTTATCTAGAAACTTGTGCTAATAATACTGGTACTATCTAGTTAACAAACCAGTGTGAGGAATCCAACACAGCTCTGACAAGCATTTATTAGGCTACTACTGGGGAGAGACATACAGGATGAAATACAAGCCTGACACTCCTCTGTCTGTCCCCCAAGGATTAACATTCTACTGGGGAGGGAGTTATTAACATTGTGTAATTCTTAAAACTTCATAGAAATGTTGAGTTATTATTACTAATGCATTGTACCAGATCCTGAGATCTTACCTTCTCCATAAAGGTTCATAATTTTGGTTGAGTCTTGCATAAAGACTTGGTATCTACGACTCTTTTCACTTACCATACTAACATACTTTCTCTTTCGATTGTTCAGGTGTACCCTGCTTTATACAATGGATAGATATGTTGCTGAAAATGTATATGTAACATAAATTCAATTTCTAAAAGTACAATTTCATCCCTCCCTAAAATGCAATTTTTATTTTTCAGAAAATTAATTTTTTCAGAATTTCCCCAGAAATTTAAATTTTCAGAAAATTCATGTTTTCATTTTCATTTCTAATGGAGTTATAAATTAGCAGCAACTGTTAGTACTTTTTTCTGCCCTCCCTGGTTTTTGTCAATCAATTAGCTAATAAACTTTAAGTGCACCAAGAAAACTCCCTCTTTTTAAAGTGAATACTTAAACAAAAGACCTTTGTCTTTTAAGTAAGTCATTTAACTTCTCTAGGCTGTTTCCTCTTTTGTAAAGTGAGGTCTTTGGACTAGATAAATGATCCCTTAGGTCCTTTCCAGTTTTAGAGTTTTATATTATGAATAATCACTCAATTTATCTGATTAATACATGCAACTTCTCATATATCTAATTTAATTTAGCTGCCAAAATTATATTCTGGTCTCATATCCATCCCCTGCACAAAAATCCCCCGTGGCTCTCTATTGCCTCTAGGATAAAATATAAAGTCCTCTGTTTGGCATTTTATGGTCTTTACAATCTGACTACTTCGAACATTCTGCATTCCAGCTAGCATGGCTTTCTTGTGGCTCCTCATACGTGACATTTCATCTCTAGTATCTAAGCCTTTGCACAGGCTGTCCCTCATAACTAGAATACCCTCCTCACTTCATCTCTTAGAATCCCTAGCTCCCTTCAAATTCAGCTCAACATAAGGCTTTTCCTGATATCCCTAGCAGTTAGGGTATCTCTGTCTCTCTCCCTCTTTCTGCAGTCCCTGATTTCTTCCAAAATTATCTTGCATTTATTTTGCATGCATTTTGCATTTATTTGTACATATACGTATTGCTCTTCCTCCCCCCAGAAAGTTTTGTTCAGTTTTCTTTTTCTTTTTACCCCCAATATCCTGGCACAAAAGTATGGGCTTAATAAATGCTTATTGAGTGATTATTTGGAGCTGAATTTTTGTTGCTGTTTGTTTGTTTTTTCAGTTAATGTAGTGCTAAGTCTGATGAAGAAAGAATAGGATGAGTAAAGGCAGAAAGGCTCTCCACAATTGTGAACAGATCTTGGCCCTTGCGCACTTCCTCACTTCTTCCCTCACCCTCCTCCTACCCTCACCCTCCACCACCTTTTCACAGAAGAGAATCAGACTCAACAAAACATTTCTTCAAGTGCTTGGGAAGGAACGTGCCAGATAAACAGTAGTAATACTGAAGAAGTTAAAAGATATAGGATGTAACATGAAAGAGGATTATAGTACATTGAAATCAGATGACAGTGGCAAGAAGATGAATGTATATATCATAGTTCCTACCACAGAGAAATAAATGCTGAGGTGAGTCTGAAATATGGTTTTTAAAGTCTTAACAGAGCATTTTCCAGCCTCAAATCTGTATCCAGTTACTAGTTCTGCGACCATGGCATGAAGGAAGGTTTTCACATTAGTGATGTTATTATAAGATTTCCAAAGTCATCCCTGGGGTTCCCCTTTCCCATTGATGAGGTAAAGCATTTCAGCAACATCAATCCCACCCCACTCTGCTATTCTGGAAGATTGTTTTTATTTATCGATGACTTGGATTCCAATCTCTCAGAAAGACACTTTTTCTTCTCTTGAAAGCACTCAAGATGGAATTCATTTCAAAGATCTTTATCTAGTATAACTTTCTAAATAATCTCTGCAGAATAGTTATTTCCCATTTCTTTGTTGTTGTTTTTGGGTTTTTTTGGTCAGGCAGTTGGGGTTAAGTGACTTGCCCAGGGTCACACAGCTAATAAGTGTCAAGTGTTTGGTCTGAGGCCAGATTTGAACTCAGGTTCTCCTGATTTCAGGGCCAGTGTTCTATCCACTGTGCCACCTAGCTGCCCCCATTATTTCTCATTTTTAAAACAGTTCCCATTTCTATAATGCCTTATGGTTTTTAGTGGACTTGCCTCACAACAGCTCAGTGGCGGGAAAGTATAAGTATTATTGTCTCCATTTGGCACAGGAGGAAAATGATGCTGACAGAGATGAAATGGGTTGTCCAGTGTCATACCACTAGAAAGTGTCAAAACCCAGGTCATCTGACTCCAAATTGAAAGTTCTTTCCAGGACACTAAAGTTTTGATCAGAGAACAGTGGTCATGTGTCTAGCAGGCCAAAATGGCTCATAAATTACAGAATCAGAGAATCTCTTAAAAAATTGTTGATGCCTTGGTCTTTTACAAAGCAATCATTTCATCTCTTCCCTCCTTATATCCTCCGCACTGAATTCCTCTCTCATGATAAATAAAAACTAGCAAAAAACAAAAAACAAAAAAAAGAGAATCATTAAATCTTAGAGATGGAAGAGATCTTCGAGGTCATCTGGTGTAATGCCTTCTCCGTGAAACAACGAGATGCCATTTCTCTGTGTGAGACAAACTTATCAGTTATCCCCTAAACAACTACAGTGCCACCTTCACTATTTGTAACTAATGGGTACTCATAAAATTGCTTTCCATCAAATCAGCATCTGGCTGCTTCATATAATGCTAGCACAGCTGAATAAAAAGTGGGAACTGCTATAATGTTAAATGTGCAAATGTTTCCAAACATGGAAATATGTTTCCTAACTTGCACTCACTGATTATCTCCAATTAACAGCCTAGTGTGCAGAAACACAGAGGGACAATCAACTTGAGGAAGATTTATTTAAAAGACAAAACAAAGCAAAATAAAACCTCCTGCAAAACAACAAAAGAAATCAGATATCCCAGATGATGATAGTCAATATTTCCAAGAGGAAAATATTTGTGAAAACTAGATATTTTATCTATTACATTTTCTGGGATGAGAAACACATGTTCCTGTAACAGCACTATTCCCTACAACCCAGGCTCCTCTTCTTGGTCAGATAGCTCACAGAGTTAGGCCTGAAATAAAGTTATAATCTCTCTTTCATCCAGTGTATCTTGTTTACATTGTAGAAATGACTGAGGCTTTGTAGGACCAATAAAAAGTCTTTCTATGCACAAAGATATTTAATGTTTAACAAATGTAGAAAGTTCTGAAGTCTAGCCTGCTCAGGGACCTCTCCTGGGAGAAAGCATTGCATAATAGGTAAAACTTTGAACTTGGGAATGGGGTGACAGACATCTATTCGGAATCCCATCATTAACTTCCTGAGTCTATATCTTCTATGCATAACCAAATTAACTATCCAGTGATCAAGTCAGGCAAAAAATACAATCAATTGGCAATTATCTGTTAATGGTGGTACCTGTTATGTGCCAGGCATTATGCTAGGCAGTGGGATACAAATACAGAAATGACACAGTTCATGCTCTCAGAGATCTTATATTCTACAAAAACCCAACTGAAGGTACTTCTTCTTCAACTTCTTTGGCCCTGTTTTTTTATTGGCACAATGTGTGGATTCTGTAAAGTAGGACAAGTGCAAGACCATATACTCAGTAGTGTTATTAATATGAAAACACACCAGCTGAAGGCAATCATTTCTGTATGTAGCTACATATATTTGACTGGGTTTCCTCCTTACCTTTACTCCACTTTGCATGTACCCTTGAGACACAGAGAAGTGCAATGAGCTTTTTGAGGGACAACTTCACCACTAAAAATGCACCAAGGGCTGTGTCAAAGCACTACCTCAAAGGGGAGCAAGCACTGGATGATATCATGGTATAGTAAGGTCTGACCCTCCAGCCCTAACATGGACAAACTTCTTAGTGGAGTCAGTGGAAAATTTCCATGCCTGGGCATTGTGAGATTGGTCCTTCAATAAGCTATTTTGAGAATATTACTCCACCGTCATTGTTCTCTCTGGCTGTGAGGCTGTGTTCAGTTGTAGATGCCCCATGCAGCAAGCACTCAGTTTTGTGCCTCCATTTTCAAGGTCAAATCATGTCTTTTCTTTTTTTTTTTTAACTAAATTGAGAGACAAATTTGTCTTTATAGATCATTTTAGGAGTTCATTTAGATTCTTGTAATAACCCGCAACTTATATTATAGCAAGAAAGTCCTTTAAGAAGAAAAACAAATGGCAGATGATCAAAAAGCAACAATTAGCTACTTGTATTGAGCAAAAGATGTGAAGTGAACTTATATTTGGAATTTAATATGTTGAAAATTCTTCTCCTATTTAAGTCATCCAGCATGTCTCTCTCTCTTCCTCTTTTTAAATAATATTTTACTTTTCCTAATTACATGTAAAGGCAATTTTTAACACTCATTTTTTAAAATTTTGAGTTCCAAGTTCTTTCCCTCTCTCCTCCCTCCCTGAGAGGGTAAGCAGTTTGATATAGGTTATACATGCTGCAGGTCTCTCTTGCTGGATGTAATATACAGAAAGCAGTTTTGTGACTTTGGTATGCACCAGAAATAGAATAGACAGTGCTGTCCCAAGGATAAAAGGAAAGGAACAATTACATGAAAGAAACAAGTGAGTCTATCAGTCACTACTAAGGATCTCATTGAAATAAACTTCTGAGTCTCTTTATTAAATCTTCTGAACCTGATTCAATTTGGGGAAGGAAAAAACAAAAAGCTCTTCCTCAGCATCTCTGCTCAGAACAGCAAGGAGTTCTGTTGAGATCCTGTTGGGGAAGGTGGAGAAAGCAGAGGGGAGAATTGGAGAGAAGAGAGGGATCATTTCCTGAAAAATAGCTCAGAGATGGCTACCTGTATGAAGAAACCAGTCATCTTGTAATATATGAAGAAGTATCCTCCCTTACTCTCAATCACTAAACAAACTGAAATTGGACTAAGACATATTAAGGACATAACAGAGCTTTTTTAAAAAGTAGGAGGCAACACAAAGCCATTCTAGAAGTTTCTATTGTTTTGGTTTGTTTTGATAGTGGGGTTTGTGGCACCTAATGAGGAATTTCCCTCTACCTATGCATACTGTACAGATATGTACAGATTGACAACTACCCAAGGTAGAAACAAAAAGGTTAAATAATTGACCCAGGGCTAGTATGTGACAGAGTCAGAACTTGAAAGCAGATCTTCCAGGCTTAAAGGCTGGCTTGATAGCTACCAAGCTGTCTCCTTAGATATGTGTTACCCATTATAAAGAGGTAAAGATCTGGAATACTACCATGCTGCAAGAAATGATGAGCAGAGGGAGGCATTGAGGTGGCTCAGTGGATAGAGCACTGGCCCTGAAGTCAGGAGGACCTGAGTTCAAATCCTGTCTCAGACCAAACACTTAACACTTACTAGCTGTGTGACCCTGGGCAAGTCACTCAACCCCAATCGCCTAAAAAGAAAATGATGAGCAGGGTGATTTTAGAAATACAAGGAAAGATTTGCATGAAATAATTAAGAGTGAAATGAGCAGAACCAAGAGAATGTTGTGCACAGCAACAGCAATATTGTTTGAAGAATAACTGTGAACTACTAAATTATTCTGAGTATTATAAATACTCATCAATTACAAAGGACCTACAAAGGAAGATGCTATGTACCACCAGAGAAAGAATTGATAAATAGAAGGATACATAGTATAATTTTACACATACATATGTGTGTGTGTGTGTGTATATATATATATATATATATATATATAAAAATAGTGGCCATCTCTATGGTGGAGAGGGATAGAGAGACAGTTTGGAACTTAAAATGCAACCCAAAAAAGTAAATTTAAGTTTTTTTAATTTTTAAAAAGGTAAAGATCTATGTTTTCAAAAAGGGAAAGAAAAGGAATAAGCATTTATTAAGTGCCTACTATGTTCCAAGCATTGTGCTAGGCACTTTACAAATACTATCTCATTTGATCAGAATTCTAATGAGAAATAATTTTTTAGAATACAATGTATAATCTAACATTTTGGGAATATTAACACAATAATATTGTGGCCATCTACCTAGACTGTCTCATCATCTGTCTGCTACCACTGACCTGGCACTTTCCACATCAGACCAGAGACATGGGCCGCCATACCTGGGTCTTTTTAAATCTATGTTTTGTCCATGGGAAAGTTAACTCTTCCAGAGAGCTCGTATTCTAGAGGAATAGTCAAACCAGTCAACTGATGGCTGACTGTGTGTAACCAAGCCCACTTGGCACACTGTATCTACTATTTATTTCTAGACACCAGACCTATTATGTGGCAGGCTCTCTTCTAGGAACTAGAAACACCAAGACAAAAATTAAATAGTCCCTGCCCTTCCAGTCTATCAGAGGAAATGACTTCTATACAAATAAGTAAACATAGAACATATGCACAGTAGTTTTGAGTTGAGGGAAGTCCTGCTGGGGTCATCAGGAAAAGTCTCTTCTAGGAGACACTTAAGCTGATCCTTGAAGGGAACTGGAGATTTTAAGAGACAAAGGTAAGGAGGAAATGCATACCAGCCAAGGGAGACAGGATATGCAAAGGCACCAAGATGGGTGATGGAATGCTGTGTAAAAGAAATTGCAAGTTAGTCAGTTTTCTTGGTATGCAGGTACCTTATGGGAAGTAATGTTAGTAAGCCTGGAAAGGTATGTTGATACCAGAGTGTGGAAGGCTTTGGATGCCAGAGTAGCTTGTATTTTGTCCTAAAGTCAATAAGATGCCAATGGAGATTTAAGAGCAAGGGAATGACATGGTCTGTCATGTTCCTTCGGAATATCATTTTGGCAGCTGTGTGGAGTTGTATTGGAGAAGATTTGTTTTAGGATTAGGTGATCCTTTTGTTCATGAATTTCTATTTTAGATCTATTTTCCAAATAAAACACATTCTGATTGTCTCTGCAGCTTTGTTTAAAAAAAAATCCTTACTTCCAAGCAAGAGTTGAACTAGATGCTTTTCTAAGACCTTACAAGTCTCATAATCTACAAATCTTTTTTTTTTTTGATGATTCAGAAGGTACTTTAAAACCTGCCAAGAACTAATAGAGAGTTCTTCTAACACTCAAGGAAAAGCTGTCTACCGGATGCCCTAAGTCGACTTGGTTAAAAAAGAAAAAAGCATCATCAAAATAATTCCAGTTGCAAATTCATAACTGCAAGCTTCAAAAATATAAATTGTGTATGAGTCAAAAAATACAGGCAATACTTTATAACAATACCTGGCAGATACAGACAGATGACAAACTACAATTCCACAAAGATTTGTTAACTTTTTAAAGACTTGTCAGTCTTCTCTTTTAGGCAAAATGCTCTCCTGAAGACAAATAAATTAACAGATACATAAGAGCAAACTACTTCCAGACAATGTCCAAAAAAAGATTGGGTTTTTCTTCTGTTGGCATGGGAAACAGCTACAAATAGGAACCCAAATCATACCATCTATTTCTTTAGCTCCTTATAAAGTGGCAAAAAACATTGTCATCCTCATGTAGCTTTTATCACCTGTTATCAGGAGATCTTTATGAGCTCAGTTATCTTTAGTACTATAATCTTCTTTTAAAATATTTTCTTTGTATACATCTATGAAGGAATAATTGAAATTGTTGAGTATTTTATTTACCATAATTGTGTTGTAATATATTAATTGATAGCACAGACTAAATATAGTTGTTATATTCAGTGTGTAGCATAGTGCCACGTTTATTTAGGTGATCAGTTCGTGTTTGGTGTGTTGAACTGATTTGAGCAATAAGAGGCGCCAGCCTCATTTTTGCTGACATGTAATTTCCCTTTACCATGCAACATAGTTGCATAGTTTCTGCCTGGAATGGCAGAAACAACACTGCAGTTAAGAAGTGAATAGTTCAAGTCCTACTCCTGCCTTTAGTTAGTTTTGTGGCAATTCACTACTTCTCGGCTCTGTTTTCTCACCTGCAAAATGGAGGGGTTGGCTTCAAAGATCCATTTCCACTCTAATGCTTTATGATTCTAAGTCATTTAATCTTTCTGTATCTTAGTTTCTTCAGCTGTAAGATGGAAGCAATAGTCCTCTTCCTTTCTATTCTTGCATGGATGTTTCAAGTGTAAGGATAGATGATAGATAAATGGATGGATAGAAAGATAGATAGACAGACAGACAGACAGGTAGATAGATAGGTGGATGGATGGACAAATAGATGGATAGATAGATATAGATATAGTGATTCTAGTGCTGGAAGCAGTGTTACACTGACTCTGAAGTCAAAGGCCTTAGGTTCAAATCCCACCTCTGACACAACTCTAATGTGAGTAACCTTTGTTAAGTCACTGGGCCTCAGTTTCCTTGTCTATCAGATGAGAGGTTTCGACTAGTTGGCCTCTACAACTCTAGATTTATAATCTTATGATCTTAAATTAGCTAATATTGAGCCTATTTAAAATCAAGAGTTACCCCCAATAAGGAGAAGGGGTTTCAAGTTGCAAAATAGTTGTAGATATGGATAGGTTGTGACCTGTATTGTTGGAGGAAGTACCCATATCAATGAGACCACAAATGCATTGAAAATATTAAAACATTTTATTTTTTACAAAAGCATTTTTTAAAAATAGCTGAATGAATCTGGCACAAGGTATTGTTATCCCCACTTTAAAGAAGAGAACTAAGTCTGAAAGGCTTTAAATAATTTGCCCAAGATCACATAACTAGTAAAAATTGGAGCTGGAACTCCAACCCAGGTCCCCAGCCTAGAAGGGTAACCTCTCCCAACCCTCTGGCCAATTCCACTTAATGATGAAAGA